GCTAAAATAGGACGTAGAGGGAAATTAAGAATGCATGTTAGAAAAAAAAAGAAATGAAAATATTAGTAACCTGTGCATTCATTTTGAGAAGTTAAAAAAATTAGCAAATTAAGCCCAATAAATAAAATAAAAGGACAGAAATAATATAGAGCAAAAATCAATGAAATAGGAGAAAAGCTTATATTAAATAAAAATCAATAAGGTCAAAAATTAAAAACCCATAAAATTTGTGTCTTCCTTTCAGAGGAAAAAAAAAATTACAAGGCAAACAATACTAATATTAAGAATGAAAACTGGGTATCATTACAGATTCTACAAACATTAAAACATACATGAGGCAATCATGAACAATTTTCTGCCAATAAATAGATTCAGATGAAATGGAAAATTTTCTTGAATACAACAGCTTACTAAAATGTTTACAAGACAAAATAAATTTCTGAGTATTTTTATATTTGGTAAAGTAGTTAACTTTAGTTATAAAAACCTTTCCACAAGTAATGCTTGCCCAGCATTCTTCACCTGGCTAATCTTATACAAACCCTTCCAGAGACTAGAAAAATAGGAAGTACAGCTAAACTTATTTACAAGACCAAAATCTGACATTACAAGAAAAGAAAATTACAGGTTAATCTCTCTCATGAATATAGTAACAGAAATTCCAATCAAAACACTAGTAAATCAGATCCAGAAATGTATAAAAAAGATAATAAGCCCTGACAAAGTTGGATTTTTCCCAGGAATGCAAGGGAGTTTTAATATTTGAAAATCAGTCAACATATTTCAGCACAAAGAGAATGAAAGAATAAAAAAATCATATCATCTCAACAGATGTGAACATTTTTGGTTAAATTGATACTCACTCATATAAAAATTAGGAGCTCTGGTGACATAGTGCCTAGGCATGCAACTGCTAACCAGAAGGCTGGTGGTTCAAACCCAGCAGCCACTCCCCGGAAGGAAGGTTGGACAATCTACTTCCATAGTGATACTGCCTCGCAAACCCAAGGAGAGGTCACTGTGATTCGGATCTGACTCCACAACAGTGAGTTTGGGGTTTTTTTGGTCATACAAAAACTACAGAAATCAAAGGAAACTGCCTTAAATGTCACAAAGAGTACAGATAAAACCTACAGCTAACATCATATTTAATGATGAAATATTAAAAGTTCTGTCCAACCTGAGATTGAAAATGCCCATGACCACTTCTTGTTGACATTTAGCTGGTGCTTAGAAAAAGAAATAAAAGATACTAGGATTGGAAAGGAAGAAGCAAAGTTGTTCTTATTCACAGATTGCGGTGTAGTAAATTACTTAGTGTGGCTTTTCTACCCATAAGTCTTTGTAAACTCCAAGGTGGGATTTTCTATGAGCAACTGAGGAGCTCCTGATTGCTGAAGTTGTCCACCTGGAGTATTTCTGTTGGGAGTGGCACAAAACAATGTTCT